TTCATTCCATTCATTCCATTCATTCCATTCATTCCATTCATTCCATTCATTCTTTCATTCCATTCATTCCATTCATTCCATTCATTCCATTCATTCCATTCATTCCATTCATTCCATTCTTTCCATTCATTCATTCATTCATTCATTCTTTCATTCTTTCATTCTTTCATTCTTTCATTCTTTCATTCTTTCATTCTTTCATTCTTTCATTCTTTCATTCTTTCATTCATTCTTTCATTCATTCATTCTTTCATTCATTCATTCATTCAGTCATTCATTCATTCATTAATTCATTCATTCATTCTTTCATTCATTCATTCATTCATTCATTCTTTCATTCTTTCATTCTTTCATTCATTCATTCATTCATTCATTCATTCTTTCTTTCTTTCTTTCTTTCATTCTTTCATTCTTTCATTCTTTCATTCTTTCATTCTTTCATTCTTTCATTCTTTCATTCTTTCATTCTTTCATTCATTCATTCATCCATTCATCCATTCATCCATTCATCCATTCATCCATTCATCCATTCATCCATTCATTCATTCATTCATTCATCCATTCATTCATTCATTCATTCATTCCATTCATTCCATTCATTCCATTGATTCCATTCATTCCATTCATTCCATTCATTCCATTCATTCCATTCATTCCACTCATTCATTCATTCATTCATTCATTCATTCATTCTTTCTTTCATTCATTCATTCATTCATTCATTCATCATTTGCGGATTTCTTCAGCAACACAGCCAGCCACCCCTAGTGTCGCCAGTCAATTCGTTTCCACCAATCACGTAGAAGAATCTTGCTGCCGGAACTAACCTTCATCTTGATTCGTTGATCGTTCTCTTCAGACAAGGCTGATCACACTTGTGGCATTATAATGTGTGACATCCAGCTTCAATGTGGGTCTCGCAAGCGCAATCACCGGCGTGGTCTCGTACTGTGGGGGTACTGTCATGCGTCCCATGTTAGTGGTTTGGCGGACCCAAAATTGTAGAAAACCAGTGCTCTGCCCAGTAGTGTTTTAGGTGCGACACAGAGTTTTCCTCGGTACCTGTATAGTTGTACAGTTTTGCTAGTTTCAGGTGGTCAGTGCCTGTAGAACGTAGTTTGAGCTTGCGTGACGGTTTTGCGGTAGCCTCAACCTGTTTTCCCTTGTTTTGTAGTGCTTGGGAGCTTTTAAGAGGTGCCACGACTACTGTCGTTTGGCTCAAGACACGTGAGACCAGCAGTGAGCTGTGCGTGCTGAAAGTGTGAACTGTCCGAGTGTTTTGTGAGCTTGCTTTGCTTGCAAGGGTGCTTGGAACTTGTTTGCCTTAAACCTGAAGGGCTGTTCGCCTTGTAGGTTTTTAACGTGGTAGCGGAGCGTGGTGAACGCTCGTTGCCTTTCAACCAAAAGAAAGAGCCCAATACGTTGACTTGAGGCGTGTTGCTTGCTTGGTTGTGCTTGTGAGAAATGGAAGGCCGTGGCAGGCCAAGCTACTTCAACATCGGTGATGTGCCAGGTGAGCCTGGTATGATCCGAAGGAATAGTAGGTCAGACGCTGCGCCGCCTTACCAGAGGCCGAGAGCAAGCAGTGTGCCTCGGGGTGCTGCTTTTAGTCCGGTGTCGAACTTGTCGGCTCTGGAACGGGGTATGCATCCAACCGGAAGCCCGGTGGTGGGAAGCCCAGCTGGCTCGCCGAACCCTCTTGGAGGTGTGTTGCCACCCCCACCAGGTTTGCCAGAGTTTGGTGGAGTTTCGCCAGTGAATGCACCATCACCGCCCACCGTGGAGACGTTTCTGTACCAGACGGTGCAGCAGCAGCAGCAGCAAGTTGCCCAGATTACGTCTCTAGTTCAGGCTCTTGTGAGCAGGGAAGTGCCTGCGCCACCTACTGCGAGGCAAGGGCCACGGTGGAGAGCTTAGCTCCATCTCCGATTCGTCGGGGAAAATGAAGGTTGATGAGGGAGGTGCTCCCATCAGGAATCCCAAAGCTGAAGCTTATGTTCCTAAGCTGCCTGCGATTGATGGTGGAAAGATGAGCAAAGGCCGTCGCTCGGAGATCGAAGGATGGGCTGAGTTCCTGGAACAATTCCTGCCGTGGATTGCTCTCTTTGATGATGGGATCCCGGAAGATTGCTTCTGAGGTCACCATCAAGCAGTCATCGCTTGAAAAGGGACAGAGCGTGCGTTCAACTAGGACCTTCTTGTACCTGAAGCAAGCGTTGCAAGGGTTTGCTCGTGGGCTTGACTTGGTTGAGCAAGTAGAGAAGGAGCAGCTTGGCTCCCCAGCTGGGTACGAGTGCATGAGGAGGTTGCATCAGGAGTTGTCTGTTGCGAGCCGCATCGAGGCTTCGACGCTTCGGAATGAGGCCCTGCAGTACCGCGCGAGCACTCCTGCCAATCGTCCACTTGACATGTTTCGAAACATCCAGTTGGAGCTTGCCAAGTTTACCCGCTTGACCGCAGGGTTCCCAGATCTTGCGTTGAGTGAGGCAGACCGTTGCATGATTGTTTTGAGAAATCTTGATGTCGAAGTAAAAAAGTATGTTCTTTTGCATGCTAGGGTTGACTCCATGGACCAGCTTGAGACTGCTCTGAAGTTTTATGATGCCAACCTTAAGATCCTGAATTTCCAAGAGAAGGAAGGAAAGGGAGCAGCAAAGGATCACGCGAATGCTTTGACCTTCGGAGACAAGGGAAAGGGCAAGAAGGGTGACAAAGGAAAGGAAGAAAAAGGAAAAGGAAAGGACAAAGGAAAGGACAACAAGAAAGGGAATGAGAAAGGAAAGGAAGAAAAAGGGAAAGGTGGAAAGGACAAAGGCAAGGACAAGGGGAAGACTGCAGCCGCAAAGGACGGCAAGCAAGGTTCTGGAAACGACAAGGAGAAGGAGAAGGAGAAAGCAGAGCGCTTGAAGAACGTCAAGTGTTACAACTGTGACCAGTTCGGGCACTACTCGAATAAGTGTCCCAAGCCCAAGAGGGAAAGAGCATCAGCAGCTGCTTTGCTTGAGCCGCAGGTCGCGGCTGCCTCTTTGGAGCCTCAGATTTTCGCAGCTGCGGTTGATCTGAGTTGTCCGGTTGTTGAGCTTGATGAGGATGATTGCTCGGATTTTTCCCAGGAGGATTGGGAGGAGTTCGTTGCATCTTATGAGTGTGCTTGGTCGGAGCCTGTTGTGCTTGAAGGCGGTGAGCCTGTTGCGCTTGAGGGTTCCATGTTGCATGTTGCGCTTGATAATTTTCCTTGTGACAACCCAAACAGAGCCACAGTTGAGCTTGCAGAGTCCCGCGGTGTCCCAAACAGAACCACAGTCGAGCTTGCAGAGTCCCACCAGGTCCCAGACAGAACCACAGTCGAGCTTGCAGAGTCCCCAGAGTTGAGCTTGGAAGCAGGTCGTTTTGTTGCAGATTTTCAAAATGTCGTTGAGCATGGCATGTTGCATGTGGTAGGTAGATCTGACCATGGCATGGTAGCACACGAGACAGCAGCAGCCAGCCAGCAGCATGACACCATGGATTGGTGGCTCGTTGACTCCGGCGCGTCGGCCCACATCATCAACGAGGACACTTTGAGCCGGGTGCACGTTGTGAGCCACAGTGAGTCTGCCAGTGAGTGTGTTTCTGCAACGGGTGACAGCATTGGAGTTCGGAGGTCTGCGGTTGTCAGGGTTCCATTCGTTTTGGTTTCGGGCGAGACGGTGGTAACAGAACTCCAAGTGCTTGTTGCTCCTGTGAAGTTTAACCTGCTGTCCTTAGGGCGTTTGCTGGGCAAGAGCTGGGTTGTGGATTTCCTGCCAAGTTTTAAAGTTGAGGCCGCTGGGTACGTTCTTCGCACGAGATGGGTCTCCAATTGCGGATGGGTTTTCTCGAGTGCTGTTGAGCTTGACCTTTCCGTTGCAGTTGCCGCCCGAGCGAGCTTGAAGCGTAGTGACGGCTGTGCTCCTTCGTCGGGAAAGCCTTCTAAGAAGGATGAGGAGGAGCAACCGGGCACCCGAGGAGTCCTCCTCCGACTCGGAGCAGGAGTGGCGCCTTTCGGGTCGCCGCCACCTGGCGGAGCAGCACGCGGCGACTGTTACGAGGACTCACGAGGATTTCGAGGGATCCACGATCGCCTTTACGGCAACCTCGATGGTGGGTCTTATGCCGGGCCAGAACCTGCTTTTGGTGCCAGCCGCGGAAGTGAAGAAGAAGACGGCAGAGCAGGCAAAGGCAGCTGCGAAAGCAGCGGCGGAGAAGTTCGTGAAGGAGCGCCAGGAGAGCGCCCAGTGGGCCAAGGAAGCAGAGGAAGCAAAGAAGAAGAGAGCCGCCAAGGCCGAGGCAAAGAAGAAAGCAGCCACAGAGGCCGAGGAGGCAGAGAAGAAAGCAGCCACAGAGGCCGCGGAGACAGAGAAGAAAGCAGCCACAGAGGCCACGGAGGCAGAGAAGAAGGCAGCCACAGAGGCCGTGGAGGCAGAGAAGAAGGCAGCCACAGAGGCCAAGAAGAGGGTCGCCGAAGCGATCGGGGTCCCAGAGGTCAAGAAGCCCAAGGGCAGTGTGGCCAGAGCAAAGGCGGAGCCGTCTTCGGGGTCAAAGGACCCACCACAGCCACTGGTGAAGAGGCAGCCCAAGCCGCCCGTGGTGAAGGCAATGCCAGCCAAGGTCCGGAAGATCGTCTTGAAGAGCCGGGCCCAGCGCGGGATTCCCGGGCAGACGGAGACTGCGCTGAGAATGCTTTCGCAGCGAGCCAAGGAAAAGAAGAAGCAGGGCTACCTCATGAAGGCCATCAACAACGCCATGAAGAAGAAGGCCGAGGAGCACAAGGGGCCTCCGGTGCGGAGGACATTGGAAAGACATGTCAAGGACCACTTCGCGCAAATCAAAGGCCTGGAAGTGCCTTTCGTAGAGGTGACGGTTTCCGAAGTCATCAAGGAACCCCCAGGACCACCAGGATCGCCAATGGTACCGCAACCGAGAACACCACCCGCACGAGCCAAGGTGGAGGCCGCGCGTGCAGTAAAGGTGCCACAGCTGAAGGTGGAAGGAGGCATGGAGATCAATCCCCCACCACCGGTACCGCCGCGGAGGAGGCTTCCCACGCCACCGAGAGACCCGAGGTCAGCCGGACGAGGGGCCTCTGCGCCCTCAGAGTGGTCACCTGTGTCCAGTCTGCCGCCATGGTCACCAGTGTCCAGTGTGCCGGTGGATGCAAGGGCCAGGGAAACCCCAGCCGAGACGAGAGCCGAGGAGCCCCCAGCAGAGAGGAGAGCCGAGGAGCTGCACATCGGGGACGACGGCAAGATCTACAACTCGCGGGGCGAGGTGGTGGAGCTCGAGAGCATCGAGATAGAGTGAGCCATGGCGGTGCACAAGGATCCTCCAAGGACGCCCGCCAATCTTCCGAGGACGCCCACCATCCAGGAATATCCGATGGTCCTTCTTCCTTGGGACTCTCGCTTCTGATGCAAGAAAAGGTTGCGTTTGCATGTGAGCATGATGTTGCCGTTGAGCTTGGTGAGCATGCATGTGTTGGTGGTTTGAGTGAGCATGATTTGCAGCATGGTGAGTTGCTTGAGCATGTTGGCCAGGACCGACCACAGCGTGACCGGAGCGAGGCCCATGATAGCCAGAGTGAAGCATGGTTGCTTAGAGGGGATCGGGAACTGTTGTTGCAGGAGAGTTGGGGTAAGCTAGAGCGAGAACATGTTCTTAGATCGCATGTGCCGTACAATGCGTCTTGCCCGCAGTGCGTGCAAGGTCGTGGGCTTGAACCCGCCAGAAGCCAGGATCGGCCCCAGGACTCAGGGATGAGAGAGGTGCAGATAGATAAGTTTTTCTACAAGGGCCTCGCCTTCCTGGTGTTGGTTTTGGTTGGTGCTTTTGCCCTCGGGGTGGTTCCGTATCGTGAGGTGAGCGGATCCCGAGGCCCAGCAGCCAAGGAAGCCATGTTGAGTGACATGTCGGCATGGAGTCGTAGCGTTGGCTTGGTTGGTGTTGCTCCCAGTGAGTTGACGGTGAGTGTGAAGTCGGACATTGAGGGTGTTGTGAAGAACCTTGCGCAAAGTTTTGCTGATGGTTTGACCGCTGGTGCCATCGAGGTTGTGGATGCCCCTGTTGGTCGGCATGCTGTTGTTGCAGAGCGTGCGGTTAGGACCATCAAGGAAGGTGCAAACACACTGTGTGCTGGGTTGGAACAGGTCGGCTTGGAGCCCTGCGGGAATGGTGTTACGTATCTTTTGATGCACGTTGCCCAGGTCTACAACCGGTACCAGGTGCATCCTGGATCAGCGCTGTCCCCAGAACAGCGGTGCTTGAAGACCACCCGTGGACCGCATGCCGCCTATGTTTGGGGTGCTGCTGTGCTTGCCACTCCTCCTCCCTCTTTGCGTGATAAAATCACCGGCCGTTACGGCCACGCCGCCTACCTTGGACCAGAAGTCGGAAGTGGAAGCCACATTGTGCAGTTTAGGCTGCGGGATGGCACTTTGAAGATTGCGAGAAGCGCAAGAATCCGGATGTTGGTTCCTCTCACTTTTGAGGTGTCGAGCTTGAAAGGTGTTTGTCGCATGTTGCCCGGAAGAAAGGATGATTCCCAGAAGAAGCTCCCCGAGAGCAGTGGTGACAATGTGCGTGACCTCCCGTTGCCGAACACCGCAACCCGAGGACCACCACCAGAGTGGATTGAAGAAAACGGGAGAACCCCAAGGTGCCGAGCTTGCCGGCTGCGCGGTTTTCCAGCAGATAAGGCCTGGCACACCCAGAAGTGCCGTGATCGATACGCTGAGTTTGTGAGAAACTCTTTCGACCCCAGCCGGGCAATCCTCGATCAGGCCCCAATTGAAGAAGAAGTGACCGGGCGTGATGATTTGGGTGCTGGATTTGGTGTTGATCTTGGGCTTGAGGTGCCGGATGATCTTGATCCGTTCCCGAATTTTCCATTGGACGAGGATTTGGCTGAGTATGAGCCCAGTCTGCCTGGAGTTGAGAATGAAATAGAGCTTGGAGAAGAACTCGAGCAGATCGAAGCCCCGAGCCCAGGCGAGCTTGATTTTATGCAAGTAGATCCTGAACCTCTTGAGGCACTCCCTGAAGAAGAGCGGGAGGCCATGGTGTCCAGTGTAATGTACCGAGAGTCCATCTCCTTTGCTGGTGCGTCGGTTTGTTTTGCGGGAGCCGCCACCAAGGTTGTTACTCCTCAGGTTGTCGAGCTTGGGGGGGAGAAGCTGCTTGTCGAAGTGCCAGCTTCTGCAAAGGACGATGTGACGGGGCACCTGCTTGATATTGGCTTGACCTATGAAGGCATGTTGCGTGAACTTCGTGCTCTTGAATCGCTTGCTGTCGGTGATGTTGTGTGGCATGTTGATCCGAAGCAGAAAGTGATCTCTACAAGGTGGGTCTCCAATGCCAAAGTAGAGCGTGTTGAGGGGAAGGAGAATCCGCTTGTCAGGTGTCGGGTAGTTGCTCGTGACTTTGCGCAGGGAGCGACCGCGGCACAGCTTGGCATCTCTGCTGCCACAAGCTCTGCAGAAGCGCTGCGAACTTTTCTTTTCTACGCGGGTTCCAAGAGAAGGAACATCGTCGGGTTGGATGTGAGCACCGCGTTTCTCTTCGCGGACCTCGACGAGGAAGATGGCCACATTGTGGTCAGGCTGCCAGACGGAGTGAAGGGCAAGGACGGCCGCCGTGGCTACTTGCGCCTTAAGAAGGCCCTATATGGTCTAAGAGTCGCAGCTCAGACCTGGTCGCGTCACCTGGCAAAGCTGCTGAAGAAGCTCTGTGACCTGGAGCCCTGTGAGACTGAGGCTTGTTTGTTTTCAGGCTCTGTGCTTGGAGGCCAGCGTGTGGTTGTTCTTTGCTACGTTGATGATCTTCTCATCACAGGAGACAGCGATGAAGCTATCTACCATGTGGTGGAGCAGCTGAAGACCGCTGTGAAGGTGAAGGTCACAGCCGATCTGGACCGCGACGGTCAGATCACCTTTCTTGGAAGACAGATTGCCCGAGAGCATTCGAGTGACTCCCTGTGTGTCACCATGTCCGATTCCTACTACGAGGAAATCTACAAGGGTTTCTTCGGGAACTCCAAGGTGACCGCGTGTGGCACGCCGCCCAACCTAAAGGAGTTGTACGACAAAGAAGATCCTTGTTTGGAGAAATCCCTGTCTTCTGAAGCTGCTGCGAGGTTTCGCAGTTCCCTGGGAAGGCTGTCATGGCTTGCGATGACGAGGGTGGATGTGGTCTACTACGTGAGCATGCTGGCCCGAGGCCAGGCGAATCCACTCGAAAAGCACGAGAGAGCTATGAGAGCTATGTTGCGTTACTTGAAGTATATTCAGGGTTTTAAGCAGGTAGTGAACCCGGTTGATGAAGAGAACCTGCGCCTTGATTGCTATGTGGACGCTTCCTGGGGTAGCGAGAAGAATGTTGACAGGAAGAGCATCAGCGGAGGGTGCGTAATGTTGGGAGGCTTCTGTTTGAAGGCCTGGAGTCGTCTGCAACAGGCTGTTGCCTTGAGTTCTGCCGAGAGCGAACTCTATGGGCTTGTGGAGGGCGCGAAAGAGGCTCTCTCTATCCGCCGCGCCATCTCGCATGTCTTTGGATGGGCAGATCTGCCAAAGCCCCATCTTTTCTGTGACAGCGAGGCTGCAGTTGCTATCAGCAAGGCTGATGGGCTGAGGAAGGTGAGGCACATTGACCTTAGGGCGTGCTTTATCCAAGACCAGCTCAGGCAAAAGCAGATTTTTATCTTTGGCGTGCGCGGTGAAGCCAATGTTGCAGATTTGTTCACCAAACCTCTTAGTTGGACTGTTACCTTGAAGCACATGTGGGGACTTGGCTTGCGTGACGTTGCCGTTATTGCGTGTGTGCTTGATGGCTTTGTTGCGTTGTGCGGTGCAATGCTTGTTGGTAAGAACCATGTTAGCTTGCGTGACCGTTTTGTCGCCATGCCGCATGCCTCTTGGTTGGTGATTGAGTTCTGTGCCCCCGTTGAATCATCGATGAGAGCGGCTAGCCAGGACTTAAACTGGGTGAATGTGCTTACTGTGAGTGAGCGTGATGATGGTGCCAGTGCACAGACCTTGCTTGAGCTCAAAGCCATCTTTGCTGAGCAGATCAAGAAGAAAGGTTTTGTCTTCTTGTGGGCTAGTACCCCGTGCACAGGAGGCTGCCCATATCAGAGGCTGCGTGCCCGTGATCCAGCTTATCGCCGAGGGCGGTTGGCTCAGCACTGGAGGCTTCACCGGAAGCTCTGGAGAAGCTTGGTCGAGCTTACTAGCTTTGTGCATGCTTGGGCCATTGAGTGGCCGCGTGCTTGTGCTTACTGGTCTTGGCGCCAGACTGAGCATTTTCTTTCCTCACGCCCCTACGTTTTGCACGACGTTCCAGTTGATGGTTGTGCGCTTGATATGCGGGGCCGCGATCATCTTCTGATCGCCAAGCGATGGCGTGTTGTTACCACACACCCAGCAGTCGCTGAGAGCATTCGTGTCTATCGTTGCTCTGGGAAGCATGAGCACTCGAAGGACTTCGACCTCAAGAATACACAGCACTACCCGGTAGAGCTTGTAAAGTCCTTCTTCGAAGCGTTGCGCTCTTGACTTTTTACGAGAGTCTTGTCGTTGTCGAGGACATGTTGCTACATGTTTGCTGCGCAGCCCGTTTGCTCAAACTTTCCGGTGTTTTCTTTCTTTGCCAGGACGTTTAAGATGTCTCTGGTCCCTTTCGCTGCCGAGCGTGCCATGGTGTTTGGCCTGGTTGTGGAAGTGCAAGAGAAGCTTCTCGAAGTTCCGAGTGTAGGGCTTCTCGCTGTTGTGCTTGTCCCACTGCTTGTGGGTGTTGCGCTTGGAGTGTGCTTGCAGAAACTGCGTACCGAGAGCTCCCGCGTCAAGACTGTGCAGGACCTTCTTTCGTTTCTGCCAAGGTCGGGCCAGAAGATGGCTGTCTTTACTTCTGCTTACGGAGACTGTTTCCACGTGCGTAGGGACTGCCACGGCCTCAGGAACGCGATTCCGAATCGCATCGCTACTAAAGTGGCGTGCGAGTACTGTTTAAGGGAACTCCACCTGGTACCTCCGACAGCTACTGCGTCGTGGGGGGGTGTAGAAAACCAGTGCTCTGCCCAGTAGTGTTTTTAGGTGCGACACAGAGTTTTCCTCGGTACCTGTATAGTTGTACAGTTTTTGCTAGTTTCAGGTGGTCAGTGCCTGTAGAACGTAGTTTGAGCTTGCGTGACGGTTTTGCGGTAGCCTCAACCTGTTTTCCCTTGTTTTGTAGTGCTTGGGAGCTTTTAAGAGGTGCCACGACTACTGTCGTTTGGCTCAAGACACGTGAGACCAGCGTGAGCTGTGCGTGCT